AGGTGGCAGGGAGAACGGCGCTGTGAAGGGAATAGAGGAGGAGGCCATAAGCAGAACTTTTGGAAACCTGTATTATTTATTTTGGGGGTGTGGGTCAGGGAATGCACACTTGTGTGTTCCTGTCTTATTTGAGGGGATCTCACTGGCATGGAGCTGGCTGATTACCTTAGGCAGGCTGGTCAATGAGCTTTAGGGATACCAACATGGGGACCGTGCTGACCAGAGAGCCTACTATTTGTCCTTGCTCTGTCGGTGACTTTTATAAAAATTCACATTTGGGATTGGAACACATTAGCACATTTTCCCAGAACACTATGCTGTTTTTTCATACAGCAGTCTGCTTAACTCGTGATGTACAGCAATACAGAATTAATGATATTGTTTCAACTTTCATGACTCAAGAAGGATTCTCAGTAAGTGTCTTCTTCTATAAAACAACTTTTTTCTGCTATTATTTACAACAAATAAATAAATGGGTCTGCTGCTATGCAGGGAATATTCCCCTCACCTCACAGTCACATAGCTCTTCAACAATAATGATGTCTTTCTTTCCTCTACCTCCATTCCCCTTCGTTCATTACCCTCCTAAAGACAGCTCAAGTATTTAAGATGTTAGACTTTACGTGTGCCATGCAGCTTCCTTTGGGCGAGTCTGTGAGACCACCAGAGCACAGCTTCAGCTTGTGAAGCCTCCACTCAGCATCATCACTAAGCTATTTTTTTTTTCAGAGATATGTGCGGCTTTTAAAAATTGCCATGCAATTTCTCGCTATGATAGTTCAGTCAAGCCAGCTGGCGGACCGTCACCGGCCACTTTTGTGTCTTCTCCCATTTGTTTTGTTAAGTCATTAGGGTGTCACGGCACCTTCCTTCCTTTGTGAGAAGTGATGCATTAATACTTGTGGGTTGGTTTCCAGCCACAAAATGCCCCGTCTTGAGGGACTTGCTGCAATGCCACACCAAGGCATAGGTGACACGAAGCAGTCATGCGGAAAAAGCAGGCTTTCCTAGAGGCTCATATTTTCAGAGCACTCTGGCCTGCTAGTGGAACAGGTTAGCTTTGGAGGCCTGCGAGATACCCCACACTCCAGCAGGAACTGGCTCTGGGGACAGCAAAGGAAATTCTTTGGGAAGGGCTGCCCCTGCTTTTTCTTGTCTTTCTTCTCCCAGAGACAGTTTGACTTGCAGAAACCAGAAAGATAATTAAGTGCTTTCTTTTGTAAGTGTTGCCTTGGTGTCTCTTGACATCAATAGAACAGTAACTAAGACACCCATATTTTTAACAGTCAGGCTTTGTGGCACATGCTTATAATCCCAGTGCTAGAGAGGTGGAGACAGGCAGGTCCATGGGGCCTGTTTGCCAGTCAACATAAACTAGCCAAGTTCAAGAACAGTGAAAAACTGTCTTCAAAATCAAGGTAAAGAGCTCCTGAGGAATGACACATGAGTTTGTGCTCTAGCTTCCGCATACCGCATGCATGCATATACACAGACATGTATACACACACAGAGTCACAAGCAAGTACAAGTTAGACTAGCTCAACCAGAAAAGTGAATTAATGGCTGTGGCTAGGCAGTCAGGGCACAGATCTGGCTTCATGCAGAGATGGAACTGGAACCAAAGATCACAGAGATGCCAGTCAGTGGGAGGTCACCTGTATTTCCATCTGGTGGCTCGATTCTTGGGCATGCTCCAAGCAAGACAAAGGTGGAAATAATAGCCCACGCATCAGAGGACTTCTCAAAGTCACATCGTAGAGAAAAGTTTGGGGTCATGATATTTCCTCCCTACAGGTGTGATTATCCCGTATCTTTTGCTTGATGTGTGGATTGCATATATAGTCCCTGGCCAATCAATTGCTCAAGAAAAGCATTCCAGGCTGCCCACCCTGGCGGTGGGCATCAGATGGAAAAATACAGTGTGTAAAGAGGCAACCGAGAAATGAATCTTTGGATTCTGTGACCAAAGAAGAAAAGGGGAATATGCCAGACTAGGGATAGGCACATACCCACAAGCCACCTGCTTGTGTGTGCATTTATGTGCATGTGATGGCTAGACATGCCTTCCTCTGGCTTGTTCACCAGTCGGTTCTCAATAAAAAACATTTATGTTATAATTATGTGTATGGTTAATGTGTATATGTGTGCACTTGCATGATGTATGTGTGAGTTCCAGTGCCACAGCCTGCATGTAGAGGTCTGGGACAATTTTGTGGTATTGGTTCTCTTCTCTCATCCACAGATTCCAGAGATCAAACTTGGGTCCCAAGGCTGGGAGGACAAGTGCCTTTACCCAGTGAGCAATCTCACCAGCCTACGCTCTTTTTATTTTTTGACACATTCTTTCACTGAACCTGGAGGTCACTGGTTTGCCCAGACTGACAATCCAAAAATGGCCCAAGATCTATCTGTCTCGACTTCCCCAGCTCCAGGATTACAGGCAGGTCTGTGCCGCTGGCCCTTGCTTTTTCCATTGTTGCTGGTGTTTGGACCTCAGGTTCTCGAGCTTTTTCACCCCTGAGTTGCTTCCCCACATCCCACAGCCAGCTCTCTCTCTTTGCTACCCTTAGCTGTTTGCAAGTGAGAAAATACAGCATGCTCTGGTTTTAGTTTTAATATGGTTGGTGGTTGTATGTTGTGGTGAGTTTTCTTTGTGTGTGTGTTTTATAATGCAGCTTCAAAACTGGAAGCGCATGCTCTATTGACCTCCCTATGAGACTACACAGCAAATGAAGTCAATTTTTAACTTCATCTCTGTTTTCATCGTTGTGATTGTTAGCCAATTTGACTAGATTTGCAGTACCCTTGACTAATGATCACACCCTAACTCTCAGCTGCAAGCCCCCCAGAAACCACTCTCCGGCCATGAGGAACTCCTGAGGGTCTCCTGCTCAGAGCAGCTGCAAGCATAGGAAAACAAGTTGTTTACTCCAGCAGGCAGGGGGTCACAGGAAATTCAGGGTCTGAGGGTCCACAGTCCCCAAAAGCTATGAATCATGTAGAAAAGGTTTTAAAGGTAAAGAACGTTCTAGAATGGTCTTGCAAAAATTCCGAATCACAATGCAGTACAGACTGGGAATCAGACTATTCTATTCTACTAGGCTCAGGAATTGTAAACAACGTTTGAGGGGAAAAATGAAGAGTGGGGATATTTCCATGTAGACACTGCCTAGGAAGCATCTATAAAATAGTAAGCTTAGCAGTATAGTCCTCACAGGAGTGTGGCTGGTGAACTCCAGGGGAAAGGTTATCACATACTAGCATCATACAAGGAAAGGCTTGGAATGACCTGTTATTTTGGAAATCCCATATGATCTGGTTTCTTGACTATGTCTATAGAGTCTTGCAACAAAAGAAGCACTCCACAGCTTCGAGCTCTATTTAGAACAGACACACACACACACACACCTGCCAGCTTGTCCCTTTAAGAGATGTGACCTTGGGCTGGTGAGATGGCACAGCCAGTAAAGGCACCTGAAGCTGGATCTGCTGAACTGAGTTCAATCTCTGGAACCCTCAGCAGAAGAAATGAGCCAACACTCATGTGCCGCCCCGACTGCCACATCCTAGTCATGGCATGTGGGTGTCCATGCGTGTACACATACTCACACTAAATTCAATTAAATTAAAAATTAGAAAAAAAACCCACAAATAAAATGCGACCTTTTTGGAAAGTTTTAAAGTACATATTTCAATGAGAGGTAGGAAAAGTGACAGAGACAGAGGAGACGCTAATGACAGAAGACCCCCCCACACACACACACCCATGAGCACTGTTAGGGTCACTCACCACTCGCTGGTGGCTCTTGCTGCCGTTCTGAACGCGTTCTTGTTCTTTCCCCTAAATTGGTCTCGAGGTGTCTCTATCTCTTGGTTCTGATGATGGGTGTTCAAGGACGGGCAGAGGTACGTTCATTCTTGTGAACAGCCTAGTGTCCCTGTTCTGACTCATGGGCATGCATCCCTTTTATGGGAATCCTACTTGTTATCTAGCCTGCATTCAGTTTGTTTCTACCAAGACAGGCAGGAGGATCCCGAGCAAGATGGAAGCTGTGATCAGGGGTGTCAGTCTGGTGACCCACAGCGGGCAGCTCAGTGGGACCCATAGACTAACAGAAGCATTCCATTACCCACAGACACCAGGAGAAGAGAGCAGTACGTGCCAGCAGCTGGAAAGAAATGACTGTCAGGGACAAACAAGCCCACCCAGCAGGCGAGGCACAAGCCAGCCCGAAAGGCTTGTTAGCAGAAACTCTCTTGGGAGTCAAGGTGCTCCCAGAGTGGAACGAGTTGTAGCCAGTAGGCTAAGCGTGGCAAGGGAGAGCTCCACACAGGCATACAGTGACTGGGAGTCCCCTGGGTGAACCTGTGTGGTCCAGCTGTTGTCGAGACGGGGAGGGCAGTGAAGCAGTTTGAATCTGGCTGTCCTATGGGAGGCAGTCACCGGGAGAAGGATGCAGACAGCATTTCTCTCATCCACCATTTATCCAGCTGAGAGGAGGAAGGGCCTCAGAGATGGAGTCAAGAGGACTTGGCGGGTGACTTCTCTTTCTGCTGTAACAAAGCATTGGACCAAAACCAAGTAAAGAAGAAAGTATTGATTTCGGCTCACACTCCGAAGGCACAGTCCATCACGGGGAGGCTAGCATAGTGGGAGGAGCCTGCAGCAACTGGTCACATTGTGTCTACAATCACGAAGCAGAGAGATGAATGCTGGTTCCCAGTTCACCTTTCCTCTTTATTTATGTGGGATGCCACAACCCACATTTAAGGTGGGCTCTCCCTTCGCCCCTCTCCACTCCCCTCTCCCCCCTTCTCCCTCTCCCCTCCCACCTCCATTGACCTAATCTACACACTATACTCCTTCACAGATGCCTGGATATTTGTCTCCCAGGTGAGCCGAGATCCTGTCGCGTTGACAGAAAGACTAAGACCTGTTACCATCAGAAGCCTTAAAAGGCTGCTGCTTCGGCCTGAAACTGTGTGCGGGGGGGGGGGGGTCACTGCTAGCCTTGCACTCCCAGGCTTGGGGGGGGTAGAATTTGGTGATCTCTCCGAATCTTCGAAGCAGCCATGCTGAAGGACTCTCTTGCTTTGTGAGCGGTTTGGACAGTAGGTTTGCACCACCCTGGGCTGAAGGCTAGGAATACAAGGGGGTCCCGCTGGGACCATGCATGAATGGCTGTCACGATACCGGCCACTCTCTGTTCCTGGGGCTCAGAATTGACTCAGCATTTAGTTCTGAACTATTTGTGGCCCTAACACCAACCACAGCGCGCTGATAGACGATGTCATCTGTCTGCACATGCTTTCAACTTCCAGTGTGGAAAACACGATAACAAAACAGAACTGGGAACAGCTCAGACCACAGAAGAAAACACAGCAAAGAGATCACAGAACGCACACGGACACCTCGCACCCAAACGCTTCTCTGCTGGGTTCTCTTAGCTATGAAGCAAGTTGGTATCCTCCTTCAGTGGAGAACACAAGACTTTATTTCATGAAGGGTCTTTGGGAATTACATAAATTAAATGTATGTGTATGCACGTACGTGTGTGTGTGTGTGCGCGCGCGTGCTGAAGGACTACTTCACACACTATTTCTCAGGATCTTAAACTTTGGGTTTTTGGGACAAGGTCTCTCATTGACATAGTGATCAGCAAGTAGATTAAGCAGGCTGGCTGGTGAGCACCAGGGACGCACCCCCCACCTCTGCTTCTGTCTCACTAGTGATGGAAATATATGCTGGGAATACAAGCACATAGCAACAAACCCTACCATGATTCTGGGGATTGATGTCAGGGTCTCATGTTTGAATATCAAGCACTGAGTCGTTTCCTCTAAGTTAAATACTCAGGGAAAGATTTACCCAGCCAATGTGGGTGAAGGCAAGACTGTTCCTATTGGTTTCTCTGATGGAGTGCGGCTGTGTCTGCCCTCCTGGGTCCCTTGTCATGAGGAAGGAATGTGCCACAATCATCGTAGGATGCTCAGACAAAGCAGAATTGTTAAACATGCAGGTACGCTTCCTCAATGGAAGGAAGAGTGGCACCCGGTCACCTGGTATGCTGGAGTAAAAGTGACCAGACAACCTGAAGATTCTTTGCTATTCTGTTAGGAGCCAGCCTCTAGGGAGTTCCCCCCAATTCTGAGACTTGTTTAGCCCCTAATCCTGAACTTTTTCTTCAGTGAATAGAATTTGTCCTTATGAAGAAGGCCCATGCACTCCGTGTTCTCCATCAGTAGGATCCATTTTTATGTTTTTCACAATGTCTTCCTCTCTAGGCCCAGCCTTGAGCGCTACTGACTGGGAAACAGTGAGAATCATCCCATGGAGACACCCTTCACAAATGTTTTCCTGTGTTTAGATGTGTAAGAAGAATAAACCCCAGGGTCAGACTCTGGAGGTTTTGGTCCAGTCTGACAAAGTCCAGCTGTACCCCATCATCATTCTCATCTCTTCGGGGTTCATTTTGTTGTTGGTGCTGATACCTGTAGGGACCCCCCCACCCCAACAAATCATATTCCTGCTGCTTCATTACCAGGTCTCCTCTGAGGGGCAGGGAGGGAACTCTGATCACGCAGAAAACCAACAGTAGCACAGACAGGTGGTGGAGCTCCTGGTCTGCCACCTCCAGCTTCCCTGCAGGAATGGAGCTGTCTCTCCTGTCTTGGGAGTTTCATTGCTGAGGTAACATGCTAGGTTGCTCCAGTTTCCCATGTGAAGAGCATCATGCTTTGATAGACAGCTTTGGCAATTTTCCATTCACGGAAATACTGGACCAACTCACACCGATCAAGCTGTGGCCAGAGCATCATCTTCAGTCTTGCAAAGTTCAGAGGGTTTTATGGCTGACATGACAAGATTCCTGAGCCACATGCTGGCCCCATGCAGGGGGGATTCTGAGCCAAGCAGGGCCCTCAATCTAACTCAAGGTGCATTTGCTGCCGTCTTGAAAGTCACATATATTAGCAAGCAATGTCCTCAGAAAACAAGGTAAATAAAAAAAGTTTTGTACAAGTTCCCAAACATTTAACCATGTTCTCCTGGGGCTATAATGACTATTCTGGTTTTAACATCTTTTCTTTTTTATTCCTTCAGACTTCTATTCCATTATCCCTGGGAGAACCTGTGGAAAACCAGTTTTTGGAAATGGGTAATGAGGAGATGGGACCATAATTGAAGGTCACATCTATGGAGGAAGAGGTAGGCACTTTGGCTAATGGGAAAGCCCTCCAGAGCGATGCCCCGCTGTTTGGCATCTATTGTTGTCTTCTTAACTTCACAGCCAGATCCCTTCCCTTCCTGATGACTCCCCACATTTGAAGGGAGAGGGAAGAGTCTCCAAGGGCATCTGTAATGAGTCACAAACACCGCCACAGTGCCAAGTCCAAGCTTGCAGCTTCCAGGCCCCCGGGTGTTCAGTCCTGTTCAGCACACAGTTGTAACCTTGGCCGTGTCCCTTTCACTTCCGGCACTCAGTGCAAGCCTTGTCGACTCATTCTGCCCTCTTTTTTCTTTTCCTAGGGCTTTTATTTTAAAAAGAAGGACAGCTGTGATGATGTTTGTTTGTGGGCTTGCTTGCCTTTTCCTTTCTCTTTGGTTATTATGACCGTGTATTGCTGATGCACTTTTTCACCTAAAGCAGAGATGTTTTTAGTACAAAAGATACTATGCTCCTAACAGCTCTCTTTTTTATGTTGAGACAGTTCAGGCTGGCCTTGAACTCATCTTAAACTTTCAACACCTGTGCCTTAGTCCTCAAAGCAGCTGGGATGACAGGCCTGACCTTGTTTCAGGGTTGATGTAGGATTTCCCTCTGTATGCTACGATTACCATTGATTAATAAAGAACTGCTTTGAGCCTATGGCAGGGTGGAACAGAACTAGGTGGGGAAAGCTAGGCTGAATGCTGTGAGAAAGAGGGCAAAGTCAGAGAGAAGCCATGGAGCCTACTCCAGAGACGGACGCCGGAATTTTATCCGGTAAGCCTCGTGGCGATACACAGATTAATGGAGATGGGTTAAATTAATATGTAATAGTTAGCCAATAAGAAGTTAGAGGTAATGGGCCAAGCAGTTGATTTAATTAATACAGTTTCTGTGCAATTATTTCGGGGCTAAGTGGCCGGGAACTAACTAGTGGCCTATCATTTCAAATTGGTGCCCAACGTTGGGGCCCAAACCCATGACCCTGAGATTAAAAGTCTCAAGCTCTACCGACTGAGCTAGCTGGAGAGCCTGGATCACACAAGTGGCCTCCTTCCAACACAAGGTAGCTATTCTATTCTATTCTATTATTTATTTTTGGATTTTCAAGACAGAGTTTCTCTGTGTTGCTTTGGAGCCTGTCCTGGAACTAGCTCTTGTAGACCAAGCTGGCCTCGAACTCACAGAGATCCATCTGCCTCTGCCTCTCGAGTGCTGGGATTAAAGGTGTGCGTCACCACAGTCCATCAGGGTAGTTATCATTATGAGATCACTAGCCCAGAAACAGCTCCACTCCCGGTGTCTAAGTTGTTTGGGTAGAAGTCTATGCAGTTCTCTACAGACACCATGTGGCTTTCATAACGGGAACTCTGAACGGACAGGTTGCTTGTGACCCTACTCCTGGTTATTTTTTCTTTTAGCTTATTTTTGAAAACCAGATCTTACCTATCTCAGACTGAGCTCAAACTCACCATGTAGCCAAAACGACCTTAAGTTTCTGGCTCTCCTGCTTCCCCTTCCCTGGTGTTGGGATCACAAACATACATGGCCTTCCCAGCTTTATTCAGTGCTAGGGATGGGTCCTAGTTTATGTCTCTATTGTGGTGATCAACACGACCAAAGAGCAGTTGAGGAGGAAAGGATTTAATTCAACTCACAGGCTGTAGACCATCTTTGAGGGAAGTTAGGGGAAGGACTCAAGGAAGCAGGAACTGAAGCCGACTCCTGCTTACTAACTTGCTTTCCACAGATTGATTGCTCAGCTTGCTTTCCTATATAACACAAGACTTGGCTGCACATTTTTGGCACTGCCTATACTGGGCTCAACTTCCCACAGTAAACCATTCATTGGGAAAACGTCCCACAGACTTGTGCACTGGCCGATATGGTAAAGCCAATTCCCAGCAGAGGTGTCCGCCCAGGTGACTCTTGTTTGTGTCAAGATGATAAGAATTAACCAGCCCAGGATGGCACCCAGGGATGTGAATATGCTGGGAAGGCACACTATTGACTGTACTCTACTCCCAGCCCAAGTTCAGGAAGTTGAAAGAGGAGCAAAGAAGGCAAGTTGGTGTTGTAACCAGAAGAAGGCTAGAAACATAGCGGTTATGGCAACTGGATTGGCCTCACAGGACTGTTAAGGGTTGGCCTTGAGAACGAGGCTTGGAGTTGATAGCTTGCTCAGTGTCCTGACAGTGTGCCAAGCTCTTAACAGGTGGAACCCTCATTGGGCATGCGGGTATGAAGGGGTGCAGAGTAAGTTGGTATCTTCAGCCAGGCTGAGTAGCATGGGGACCAGAGGAGGACAATGAGTAACCGCATGGTTTTTAATTGTATGTGGCTCATTCAAACATTAGGGCCTGTCCTCTTCACTGACAGCGAAGACATGGCTTAAAAGCCAGTTGTGTCATTGTGATGAGATCACAGCCTGGTCTTGTCTCATCGTTTTTCTCTAGAAACATGGGCATTTCTTTCTCTTGGAGTTGCATTCTTATGTTTCCACTGCGGGTTGTGTACAACGTGCTATTTTTAACTTGTCACGAGTAGTCTTGCAGGATTATTGTCATTATCCTACCCTCTTCTTTTCTTGACTCAAAAATATTTTCTCCACTTGCATTTAGCCTTAAGAAATAGAACAATAATGCATTTGAGTGCAGAGTCAATTGCTGTGTGACCCCGGTAGTTTTTGTTTCAGAATTGTGTTGTGCTATTTATAATATCAAATGGCCATTGTTTGAAGGCAAAATGATCGTTTCAAAGTACTTCTAACAATCTAGCAAATATTTAAGATCGCTCACTCTCAACCCTGCTGTAATTTTTCACATGTCTTCTTATTACTGACAATTGTTTTTATAAAGCCTTCCTGATTGCTCCTCTTGTCTTGTTTTTGAATGTTGTAGTTCAGAAATATTTAGACAGCTTTCTGGATGGCTACTGTCTCCTCAAGACCAGGACAGAGACTAGCTTCTTTCCCCAATACAAACTTGTACATCCTGTATATCCAGGACAGAGTTTAGAAGACCTGGGCCTAGCGATCAATCAGCCAGTTGGAGAATTGCTCTGGCCTTTCTCCTCCTCTCTGCTCCCCTTTTGTTTAAATCAGAAATTCTGGCATAGCACCGTCCAGCTGTGCCACAGAGGGCCACAGGCCTGCTGGTGCTTGCTTCTGTCTATTTTTGTCCGCTTCCAAATCAGAGGCCTAGAAGGTGCTTCAGAAGCTGTGGCCTTCATGCTCGACTTCAGAGGGACGCGCATCGACCGCGGCCTAAAAGGCTTGCCAGTGGAAAGCACTTCAAAAACAGCCAACAAATATTTGTGATTACTACGTGCATGCAATCGCTTCCAAAGAACGTGGGAAACGCTATCATGCACACCCCCAGAAACTTTTCGTGCTGCCGAGAGAGACGTACAAATGCACACAAAGCTGCTATCCCAGAGCCTTGAACATAGACCATGTTTGAAGGTTGAATGTCTAGACCATCACAAATATGCCCCCACCTGTGTGTCTGTGTGTGTGTGCGTGTGTGTGCATGCGTATGTGTATGTGTGTGCATATGAAGGGCTGAGAACAATCTCAGATATCTTCCTATACTGTCCCCCTTTTAGAGACAGGGTTTCTCATTGGCCAAATAGGCTAGAATGACTGGCCAGGAAGCTCTTAGGATCTTCCTGCCGCTGTCTCTCCAGTGCTGGGACTACACGTGCATACTGTCACATCTGACATTTTACTTGCTTTTGGGGGAATGTGGGGAAGGGATTCTGTCGATAACTCTCTGCTTCCAAAGCAAGCCCTTCACTGACTAAGCTAACTCTCTAGCCAGCAAATACGCACTCCTGACATCCTTGCCTTTTGGCCCCGCTATTTGCTGCTGGGAAATCCTAACTGTAACACACTCCTCCAAGGTCTAAATTCTAAAGTACCCAATGCAAGATCTTTATGTCTCTAAAGGTTAAATGACTGTTTTACAAATAGCCTTGATACAAATTCCACCACTTATTAACCTAAATGTTTTTTTTTTGCTTTTCAATTTCATACTTGTAAAATGGAAAGATAATAGCATTACTAAAGGCCTAGGAGAGTTATAGGTTGAATTTTCAGGCTAGTGAAAAACTCACATAGTCATAAATGCTATTTGCCCAAGAGTCTTTTACATATCGGATGGAACATTAATGTCCTCTCTCATTTGCTTCGTTCTGCTTGTTCTTGTCCAGGTAACTTCATCATTGTGTGATTAATGACAAAATCATTTAACTATTGATCACAGAATAAGATATCAGAACGCACTCAGCTTTTTTTTTTTTTTGTGAGGTTTTAACGTCATTCTCACTCCAAACATGGTATAAATGGGAGGGGGCTCAGTCATGTCCCAAATAACTTGTGTTTGCAAGAATGTTTCACCCAAAGACATGGACAAAACACGGCACCAATCCCAGTGTGAGAACCAGCCATGTGACAGTGGCTTACCAGCAAAGATTCAGCGTGTCTGACTCTGGCAGCTTCATGGTGGCTCTCGGACTCTGCTTTCTTCCTCCCAGCATTCCGTTTAATTTTCCCCACCTACCTACCTAAGGTCTGCCCTATCAAGGGCCCAAAGCAGTTTCTTTATTAACCAATGAAAGCAACACAAAGACACAAGGACCTCTTACACCAATTGTGTCAAGTGCCAACAAACCACTTGAGGCATAAGTGTATGAGATTTGACGGTGAATAGATGAGAAAATGTCCCTGCAGAAGAACAGTAGGATTGGAGTGTCCACAGGAAGGCTCACAAATTCCCAAGACAAGGATTTCTCCCTTTGCCTGGTAAGCATGCTCCAGAGTGTCAGGGAAGTCTCTCTGTGCCATCAAGTGGAATGGGTTGTGTCCCTAAAAGGATGGGCACAAGACTGAACGGTGCCTTCGAAACCATCTCAGAATGATTGGGCAATGTTTTTTTCCAGGAATTGTTTCTCTGTCTGCAGTCGATATGTAACAAGAAATAGGGGAAAATCAAAACCA